TATGCACTAAAATATATGCTTACAATGAGAATCATCGGATCATATCGAAATAAAAAAAAAGTATTAAAATAAACTGAAATAACCAAAAAGGTTATGATTTCAACCAACCGAAACGAAGCAGGATTTATTATTTACACTATCGTAATCCATGATGGAGGTAATGTTCTATTATCAGTCACTTTTGTTGGTTTACTTGAAAAATGTAAAATATGCTACAATAAAAATACCACTCTATCATACTATGAATGTGTTAAGTATAGCTCAGTCAGTTATGATGGCAGAAAAATTACAAAATAGCAAAAGTCAAACTTTTAATGAATTCAATAAAAGAAATGATCCCAAAATATTTACAATTGAATGACTAAATAAACGAGAACCGAGTCACAGTTACTGACTATGATACACTTAGATAATTTGCAAACACGGAGTATATTTTCAGCCATAATTCAAGAAAGGAATATACTGTAACAAATTCTTTGTATTGTACCTTGGTATTGTTGTCTAAACAATGAGTATTTATTGTTCTTTCTTAAATCCTACTAATTTTGAGTTAAGTATATTTTATCCAAGTTATTTACAAACTTTTGTAAAGATAGGTTATCCACTATGAAATATATGCTTCGTATAAACAGTAGTCCTCAACGGATTTATGTCATAAAATAAGACAAATTAGAGATAGATATATTTGTTATTGAGTTCCCTTTATCATAGATTGATATTATGTAGTAAGCTTCTGATTATATGTATTCAATAGTAAACATAATTACAATCGAATGTCTCGATTCCCAGTGTACATTTGATTGGGTAAACTCTCGCTTGTCCAGTATTTCCTTTCCACTATATTGCTCTTTACTCGCTTCAAATCAGAACAAGTTTCAAAAGAAAAAAAAAACAGGATATATTCCAAAATAACTAATTTAAACTTGACCTCTTTCGTTGATATCGAGTGAAAAAAGTTTATTTATTTTAAGGAACATTAAATTTTGAGGTAAACATTTAGCATACATGGTGGGAGTAAAGAAGATAGTCCAATCTAGAAGGTTATCAAGAAGATGAACCAATCAATAGTGAGAAAAAACAGTGAGGTTATTAAATAATACAGTAGATTAATATATAGTACCTAAATAATCATAATAAAGAAATATTTATTTTAAAGAATGGGGAAATTTATTTAAGTTCATGAAAGTTTATTGTGCCAATTTATCATATTATTGATAAAAATTTACAACTATACACTTTACAAAAAGGCGTAGCTAAAAAGAATCGAAGTATGAATAGTTTCTATTTGATAGAATAATACTTGCCAAATGTCTAGTAAAATTTGTAATATAATTTTAATCTAATCTTACCACACTTTTATCTACAAATAAGCCTAAAGAAGTTGAAATATACTGCTTGTTTTCGAAATATAAAAGACCGATCGATTGGTTGAATTTAAGCATTGACACCATTGCATGCCGGCTTAGTGGTCTAGAGGTTAAGCGTTCTCGTGAGACTGAAAGTCCTGGGTATGGATCCCGCGTGCGAGATCGTGGATATGCACTACTAAGGTGTCCCAAACTGCAATGAAACGGTCTTCCAGTGCTTCCAAGTTTTCGGTGGTGGTCTAACATCGATTCACGGTCTCAACTGAAACTTAACCATCTCCCCCACCGTATACTGATAATTTGTTATAGTTCTGTAAGTTTGTAAGACTGATACTAATATTGAAGGGCAACCACATAAATCGAATTTTAACACATCATTGATTAGCAACCAATGTCATATTTGTCTGCTCCTTACTGCAAATAGAATTCTGTCAATCAAGTTGTAGTCTAGACACTAGTCTGAATGACTCACTATCAAAAACCATACATTAAAATGTCAGCTGATATCTCTTCAAAACCCGTAGGCTGTATTAGTTTTCCCAAGTTTATAGTTAAAACTTGCTGATTAAGGTTAACTAGCATGTAACTTAGATCCAGGGATTGATCCTGACTACCTCCAATCAACTAATTTAAGAGTTTTTTTTTAAAAAAAAAATATTTAAATTTATAATTCCTATTGGGTTTCGTTAATTACCTTTCAATGAAGTAAAATATATTCTTATAGACTTTCTTCAAAACCCCATAATTACAGACTAATCAATCATTATGGTTGAATAATTCTGAAATTGCTGTTTTATACATGGACATGACTGACATAATTAGACTATGTAAAATACGATTTTGTTCATCTTAAATAAAATAAGACAAATTTATTACAAAAAAAGGCTTACATTTTGTAAATGTAATTAACTATACTGATCGTCAACAGACTAACTGGTTTAAACGTTTGTAAGTTCTAATCACAGAAAAGAAAACAGTCCATATTTTTGTCGTGGTAAATAAACTAACTATTCAAATAGAAAAATCAACAAGTAGTGTAGCGAACGAGAACACAGATGGGAACAACCAAATGTATCTTAATACAACATTACAAAATATCTTGGTAAAATCTGAGAACGATATAGTAAATATTTCATTTGCAAAATATCCATCAATTGTCTCAGACTTTATTATTCCTTCGTTTCCATACCAATCACTGTCTGTTCCTATTCTCTTCTCTTCGATTTTGTTAACTTTCTTTCCCCAAATATTCTACTTTCGTTTGGTAACACATACTACTTATATTTGTCGACATCGGTAGCACAAATCACAGTAGTACTGTGGCAAGAAAACATTTAAACAGTGAAAAGTAAATTGAAAAATGAACATATAGATTAGTATGAAAATAAAGAAACGAACTGAATTAAACAGAAATTGTTTCGATAACAATGTTGATTGTTTTTTCCATCTAGCTAGTTGCTTATTGTTTAATTAGAAATCAGTAATATCAAACGATTACGCTTAGCCTATGACTATGAGGAAATGATAATAAAAATATGGTTTCCTATAAAAACTTTATTCAACCAACAATTTCCACGGATTGCCTATTGAAGTTCTAAAAATGTTCCACAGATACAAAAGTTATTTCTTTGAAAAAACTACACATTCCTTTTATTTCACATGATATGATGGAAGCTGGTAATAATTAACGTACTCTATGATAATGAACAAGAGACCATTAATTTCCCAATTATATCAAGTAATTAGATTGATTGATTTTTAAAATAATGGAAAGGGTAATACAAAATGGTTTGTTAAATTGTTAAAGTCATTATTGTACTTTCATATGTATGTAAAATATTGTGATCAAGAAGATGGTGATTGCTTCAACTTAACATTCTATATTATTAGAGCTCATTTAATTCTACTCAGTAATAGTTTGATAATTTACTTTTGGACAAATCTAAACACAGAATGTATCAATCCAATCACAATTGACGGAGAACATTTGGAAGATGTAAAAACCTTCACATATCTGGACAGTATCATTGATGAACACAGCGGATCTGATGCACATGTGAAGGCGTGGATAGAAAAAGCAAAACCAGCATATTTACAGGTGAAGAACATCTGCAACTCAAAACAAATGTCGACCAACACCAAGGTCAGAATTTTCAATACAAATGTCAGAACAGTTCTACTGTATGGGGTGGAAACCTGGAAAACTACGAAAGTCATCATCCAGAATATACAAATGTTTATTAATAGTTGTCTATGCGAAATACTTCGGATGCGTTGGCCAGACACGATCAACAACAACTTACTATGGAAGAGAACAATCTCGATTCCAGCGGACGAAGAAATCAGGAAGAAGTGCTGGAAGTGAGAAGGACATACACATATTGAGGAAAGCACCGAACTGCGTCACAAGACAAGACCTCACATGAAATCCTCAAGTCCTAAGCAGAAGAGGATGACCAAAGTACACATTACTCCGAGAAATAGAGACAGACATGAGAAGAATGAACAAGAATTGGATAGAACTAGAAAGGAAGGTAAAGTGGAACAGAATGGGTTGGAGTATGCTGGTCGTCAGCCTATGCTTTATTGGGATTAATAGGCGTAATTAAGTAAGTAAGTAATGTTAAATTCATTGCGGGACATTTTTTATTATAACAGATATTCATTCATTTTTACCTTTCATGTAACTAGTTATATTTTATTTGAAGAAGATTCAAGTGGAGAAGACTAATTTATTGTTTAATGCATAATTAAAGAGTACCTTTAAGAAAAATATATGAAAACCATATATCAAATACATCATTTGCATAACTTCTTCTTCTTTCATTCCTGTTACTATCTTAATCTATCTCAGCTTCCTTCTTTCTTCTTTTCATTTCAATCTTCTTAACTTTATGCTCATAGGTATTTCGTTTCTGATTGGCGCTACATACTACTTATCTCTGTAAACAAAAGTAGAATACACAATAATATATTTCACAATAAACTATATTTTCAGATGGTCGAGAAGATTTGTAGTTCAGGTGGATGATTTTGATAGAAGTTTGTGCTGATGATGTCGTTCAGAAGAACAATGAAAACTACACGATCAAACTATCAAAGTTCAAAGAATAAAAACCCCATCAAAAACTATATTTTCATTAATCATTTAATCAATATGATAAATTTAAACTAAAATAAAATAACAATATATCAAATATCGAAGTTGTACGATTCATCAAAATGTTTATATATATATATATTATAATTAATATAATATATTCTTTTGAAATCTGAATTTCTTATTTCAGCCAATCAGATTACTCGAAATAATAAATTTTGAAATTGACCAATCATAATTGAATAATTTAAAGTATTATTGAATAAAATAATTAATATATATTAACCATATAAATGATTAGAAAATATTACGTAATTTAATGTTTTATTATATTTTCTTTTCTATTTAATTATAGATGATTATTAGATTTTGTTTTAATATTTGCCAAATAAGAATTCTATTTTCATATTTTATCAAGAAAAATACAACAACAACTATATTCATCCAATAAAAAAAAATTAACGGAAATGAAGTTTTAATTACGCTTCATTTAATGATTTCAAAAGATTTTATTATAAACCAATGAATATGAAATGGAACAATTTAATGTAAATTTAAAACGTAGTTCTGAACTACCTAAAGATGATAATGAAATTGAATTTATACAAGATAATCCATATTCTGCTTCTTCATCTTCTTCTCCTCATCCTCCTCCTTGTCCTTCTCCTTCTTCTCAAAATATAATCTTATCAAAACAAAAACCAAGTGATTGTAATAATAATTTAATTAAAGCTGATCTACAAACATCTAATTTAAAATTAAATACAATTTCAAATGAAGATATTCGAAGACAATCAAGTGTACATTCTGAACAAACATTAAATGTTGTTCATCATTTATATCCTACAACATCATTATCTCATACAGCATCAGCTTTTTCAAGTTATTTAAGAATTCCATCTATTTATGAACAAATGAATGAAACAGTTGTATCAACACATTCAGCAGATTGGTCAAAATCATTACATAGATCAAGTTGTTTTAATACACCACAAAGTTTAAGTGAAGAAGATCAAAAATTTACACAAGCAACAGTTCGTGCTTTATTAGCTGCTAGTGCTAGAGAATCTCGTACAGCATTAACTGATTTACCATTAGATTTTTTTATAAATAATTCTGATTTATCTAATATTGATAATAAATTAAATTCATTATCAGTTCAACAATTATCTCATAGAAATTTATCTACTGATAGTGCATTAAATGTTAATCGATTAAATTTACCATTAACAACAACAGTAACAACAACAACAACATCATCATCATCAAAATTTTGTGATGAATGTAAAGAACGTCGAACTCATCGAAAATTTAGTGCATTATATGCTCATAGTTTTGATGATACAATACATGATAGTGTATTATTATTTAAAAGAGATAAATCACCAATTCCTAATACATCATATAATTCTAATAATATTATACTAAATAGTGTTACTAATTTATCAAATTCTACACAACTACCTCATATACAATCATTTAATAAAAATATTATAATTACTAATAAACAAAATCCAAAATCATTTAAAAACTTAGCTAGACAAACATCTCATTCAATAAATAGACCATTAAAACGTTTAGCTGCTAGTTTTCGTTTAACTAAAAATATTGGACATTCAGCATCAGTTAATTATAAACAACATTCTCGTACTAATATCATATCAAAATCTAGTAATATTGTTTCAAGTTGGAATTCTGTTTCAAATTGTATTGATTCAATACAAAATACTTCAATTAATACTACTACTACTACTAATAATAATAACAGTAATAATAATAGTAATGGTAATAATAATAATAATAATGATGGGAACAATATACATACACGTAATGTAATTCTTCAAACAGATCAAGATTTTATGAATGAATTTAAACGTGAAAAAGGTTTACATAAAGGACATTTATTAATAAATGATAATTTAATTGAAAAACATAATAAAAATGAATTTAGTGATTCAACAGATCATGAAACTGATAGTTTATTAAGTCAAGATGATAAACCAGGTGGTTCATTTCATTTAAAAGAACAATTTTTTGCATTTTTTCAACCAACTGGTAATAAATTAGCAATGAAATTATTTGGTACTAAATTAGCATTAGATAGAGAAAGATTAAGACAAGAACAACAAGGTGATTGGATTATACATCCATGTAGTAATTTTCGGTAAGTTTATGTTTGTTTTTTTTTTCATTTCAAGATTTTTTGTTACAATTTATCATTACTTTCTTTCTATAGGAACCTCACAAAAGTGTGTTTTTTATCATTATTCGATTGAATGGTAAAGTAGAAGTAATTACGTAATTATGTTATTATAATTTTAAATATCACAGGTTATAATCAGTTGACGAAAACCAACAAAATAAAAATGAATTTATACTATTCTGCTAGAATGTTTGTTCATACTCATTGTAAAATAATAAAGGGAATTATGTGTATAAAGTAGAAGTGTTAAATTGAATAAATATTTTCATACATAACGTTTTCATATTGATATAGCAACAATGAAGGTATAGCAACTAACCGACAATCAATTTTCATTATAGTTAATTTTGGTTAAGCCCTTTTCTTAACTTATTTAACAGACAATGTTATTTGAATAGTAACCATTCGCATATTTCTTTGAACCATTATGATGACCAGAGCACATGACAGATTCGAGCTAAAATATTAACTGCTTAAATATCACTCGATGATTCATTCTGCTCCCTATGTATATGTGTATTCAAATCCTATTATTAGTCCTTGTTTTGCCTTGCTGCCACTATAAATTACCTTATATAATTGCTCGTATATACTTATTCGCTTCTCTGTTTCAAATTTATTCAATGAGCTTATAACTTTGTGATCTACGCTATCTGTTAACAAACTGTAGTTGCTACTTTTCATTGCCTTCTGAATTTAAACACCATTGAAATTGATATTATAGTGGTTATTCAGGTGATCGATTAACCAAAGCATTACAAAGGTTCTCGTGTCATATAATCACCGTAATTGTTCAGTAAATCTATAAAAAAATCTTTTGTAAGGGATAATAAAATTTTCAAAAATTTCAGAAAGATAATGTAATCATGAATAAATAAGTATTCAGATTAATTAGGTCATCTAGAGATCTTTCAATTATATTCAAAATACACAACAAAAAAAAACCTCGAAAAATTAGTTAACTACTGAAATCAAATAGGTTTCATTACTTCCATTGAGAAGTACTTTTCATTTACACATACTTTTTATTCATTAAGTGTAAAGTGTAGTCAAGGTGATAAGATCATTTTAAGAATACAAGGTGCTTGTCTACATACTGAACTTTCTCATTATTTTTCGTTGTTGTTGTTGTTGTCTGGATTGATTTCTATTTAAGTTATCTAAGAAAGAAAATCAGTAAAATAATAGACATTTCTTATGTTTTCATATGTATAACTTGAATAGAATAAACCTTCAAGTTTAATGAATCCTAGTTTCCTCTTTTATTTTCTTCTTTTCATTATTACTCTAAATAACATGGATTCATTAATAAATTTACAAACTATTCAATTTATGAAATACATGAAAATTTTCTTGTTAAATTCTGATAGGTTTTTCTTCCTAATTTTTTTTCTTTTCTTTCTCCTAGAAACCATTAAATTTACAAATTGTTTTATTCTTTCTCTATAGGATTAATGAAATGATCAAACTATAATTAGAATTTAAAAAAATGTAATATCAGTACATAGTGATTAAAACAGATGAAAATGTCTTCAGTTTAAATTCATTTGATATTATTTTGTTTGTATCTTTCGATTGTTGTTTAAGACTGAAATTGATTAGTTTTTTTTTCTTTTTGGCATATATGTATCCTATGCGGATTGGCTCAATATTGATTACAGTTACAAGCTTTATAAACAAAAATGTTTAGTGGTTAGCAGTAAAATCTGGAACGTACATTTCGTTTTATTTGAAGTGAACAGTTTGGTATTCGACTACCAGAGTGAACATCAACTCTAAAATGCAAATACATCAAGTTGACGAATCTTAAATAGGACGAAACACGTGTATTGGATTCCATTGCTAACCACCATCTGTCTTTGCTTATAATACTTACAGTTTATTTAAAAACTGTATAACATTTATTTTTCATGAATAAGTTTTATGGTTTTTAACATTGTGTAGGATGTTTTAAAGATGAGAAATTTTTTTTTTTTTCAAGGTTTAGAAAAATAGTTTTATCTCAAAAAGAAAAACATACTAACAATATAGAATTTCGTTAAAACGAAAACTGAGACATTTTTATTCCTTCACAATGCTGTCAATTTGTTTCATTATTTATGTATTAATCCAATCTAATTGTTACTTGTCTTTTTTTTTAAAACTTATAAATGTCTTACAGAATTTAAGTATGAAAATTAAGGATTTAGACTAATTTTTTTGCAAGACCTAAATATTCAGAATTAGACCGTGTTTTATAAATCTTGTTTAAGACTCTTCAAGATTAAGATAGGTACTAGAGTTTAGACCAATTTAGATCAAGTGGTATAAGGATATATTCATTTAAACTAGATTAAACATTCTATCTTCAGCTGAGAACATACAAGTTATATTGTAGTGAACAGAACATGGGTGGGGGACTGTCGAATGAAATTTTAACACAACATTACAGAACTTGTTATTAAAATTAAACAACCATATAGTAAATGCTCAATTTGCAAAATGATGATCAACTGTCTCAAAATAGCCCAGAATTTGTTGTTTTGGTATTTTTATACAAATCGCATTCTGTTTCCATTTTTTACTGTTCGATCCTCTAAACTCTCTGCTGCCAGACATTCTGTTCCTGACTAACGTCGCATACTACTTATGTTAATATAAGTAGCACACACCACAATATGAATTGTTTTTTTAAAGCATTGAACATGATAAATATTTTAAATGAATTGGTTAAATTAATGTAGTATTGAATATATAATAAATTCTATATTTAACAATTGTTCCAATCTTCCGTTATATAGGTTAGTTTTAATTCATGTTTTCATTATATCAAATATTATTTCACAATGAATAGTTTACATGACCATTAACATTAATTTAATTCTATTATTATCATCATTGTTTTTATGTAATATATTGTGTATCCGTCAATTGTCTTTGAGAATGAATTGAATAGATATTCTGTAAAAGAAAGAATAATTACTAACATGGTTATTTGATTAGATTTTGTCATTTGTAAAGATAATTTCTGTAAATGAATCTGTAAGTCACTCATTTAACCTATTACTGATATTTTAACTGAATTTTGATCAATCTTAGTTGTTATATATGTACATCCTTTAGTGATCATTTTGATACAGTAATTTTCTTACAAGCTTTTTAGAAAATGTCCTAAATAGAGCTATGAGAAGATGAAGTTGATCTGAATAACTCGGTCTTTTCACTGATCTATAGAAATTTATAAAAAGGATTAATCGTTTTAAAGTTCCAAATATATTGAATGTTACTGCTGGCTAAAGTTGATCTCTTCAATAAAACTTGTAGTTTATGTAATATTTTTTATGTAATTGATACAAGTTAAAATCTAGTCTTTAGTTAAGTGTACAAGCAAATTTGTATGTTATAGTTGTACATTCATTTATACATCACAATGAATATATATGTAGTATTACAAACATTATCATCAATTAACTTCGATGAATAATTATTATAGTTGAGAAAAGAATAATTATCAATATAGCGTTGTGGAGATCGTTGAGCTTTTATTAAAATCATGAACCAATCAGTGTTAGAAAGTAGTGGATAGCTGTTTTGTCTTAATATGAGACTCCTATACAATACATATCCATGATTCAACCGTGTTGTATAGGGCAGTTACATAATGAATACAGTGATAGTCATGTAAGATTATGGATTGATCGAACCTACACACTGACATCGTTGAATGTTGTCTCAATAGTCTAAAGGCTAAGTGTTTGCGTACAAGATCAATGGTCTTGGATTAGAGGCTCCCATATAAGTTCGTGAGTGTACACTGCATAAGAGTCCTATACTACAATGAAAAAACCCTTCAGCGCTTCCAGGTTTTTAATCATTGTCTAACATCAATTGGTTCATAAATGTTAATGAAACATTTATTGATATAAACATTGATTAAATTAAACATATTCATGATCACAAATTAGTTCATTAAGGTCGTTTTAATCATTTATACATATTATCATATTTACTGTTCAATGAACTGTGATTTCTGTTTCATTTTGAGAACGTTTATAAATTTTCCTTCAATTTTGTTTACTCGAATGTGTTTTTCTGATTTGTTTAAATATGGAGGGAAGTATTGTTACATTTTCCCCCCATTTTCAAGGTTAAATTTATTATTATTATTATCATTATAAATATAAACTAGTATGTTATTTGAATGATTTAAAGATTAAATGCTTACAGTGGATAAAAATTGCAAATTAATAGTTATCCAGAGAAATTCATTGCGTGATATAGACATTTGAACGAATAGAGACGATTTATAGTTCCGGTAAATGAATTTATTAAAATTATGTTCTCTAGTTAGAAGGTTTTTAAACTGTAAAATCGTGCATGGAGGACAGTTGACAAACTCGTTCAAAGTAAAAGCCGGTCTCAAGCAAAGTTGCTTACTCAAACCCTTTCTGTTTCGCCTGGTGATCCACTGGACCATGAAGACATGAACACCTGAAGGGGAGCACGGGATACAGTGGACATTTATGGTGCAGTTGGACAATCTAGACTTCACAGATGATCTGGCTCTTCTATCACAAACGCAAAAACAAATGCAGGGGAAGACAACCAGTATAGCAGCAGCCTCAGTATAGTAAGTCTCAGCAAACACAAAGGGAAAGAGAGATTCTCCAACACAACACAACACAACATCCACCACTTACTTACTTACTTACTTACCTACTTACTTACTTACGCCTGTTACTCCTCGTGAAGGAGCATCCAATCAAAATTAACGGAGAACATTTGGAAGATGTATAAACCTTCACATATTTGGGCAGTATCATCGATGAACACCGTGGATCTGACGCAGATGTAGTGGCGTGGATTGGAAAAGCAAAAGTAAAATATTTACAACTGAAGAATATCTAGAACTCAAAACAATTGGCAACCAACACCATAGTCACAATTTTCATTACTAATGTCAAGACAGTTCTACTGTATGA